CTGCTGTGAAGGTTTAGGGCAATCTACGTTCCACAGAGTCATCGTTACCCTTGTCCAGCGGTGTGAGCAGGCCAACAAGGACCCCTGGGATAGAGTGATCACGCCCTGAACTTGACCGCAAGTAAGGACCGGAAGTCCAAGAATCTTGGCGTCCGTTAGTTGAAACATGCGGGGTTCGAAACACATCGCCGCAGTAGAGCCGGAACAGCTCCTAGAAATCCGGTCATGGCGATCCCAGAGGTCCTTGTTGGCCGCTCTCTACCGCCTGGCACAAAGGGTAACGAGGACTGTGGGAAACGAGATTGGGTTTAGGGGTATTAAGGCTGGATTTGTCAAGAAACCATGGTTAATCTTAGCAAAACTGTTTGTTAGTATGGGCATTGAGTGTTGTTGTTTTAACTGCCACTGCGTGATAGCCAACACCAAGAAATGACTGTTCGTGATGCATATCATGTGACCTGAAACCGCTACCATCTCTTCTACGGACTGCGTACAGAATGGCGACCTGTACGCGTATAGGAGCGTCCCCCCCATTACAAAGTTCCAATTTCATTGAGCTCCTTTAAGTCCGCTCTTACAAATCCTGAAAACAGTTATCTAAACTCATCAATAACAAAGCAAAATTTATAAAGCCAACCGTCCTAATTTTAACATCAGCTTTTGCTTCACATTTCTTGATTAAAATACCTTGTGTGTCACCTAAATAACTTGAAAAAAAAAATGGTTCAGGCGCATCTAGACGTTGTTGATAAAGTTCCTGTTATCTTATACATTCAAACTCACTATACTCTTTTCTGATTCGGCCGAAAGCCCGTACAGTGAATTTTCGAAATCAGGCGACCTTTGAAAGCATACTACTGCATCTACCTATACAGATTAGCAGAGAAGATCACTACCCGGCTGATGTATACAATCAATGATGTCAAGGACACTCAAGGTTTCCAATGGCGTAATCATGTCATCTATGACCCGCCGGTTGCCATGATTTCAGTAAGGGTAATCATGTTCAAGTTCGCGCGCTTTGCCGTTTATGCTCTGCGCTAAGTAACATCCGCAACAAGATGGCAGAAGCTTGTATTCTTTTTCGTTGAATGTATAATGAAAACAATTATTAGATTCGGTTTTTGGTGATATCCAGGATAATCAAGAACCTCGGTAAGAGTTATCCACACTTCAGCCTCGACGTCGAGCTGATATATAACTCTTACCTCGACCCTGATTATTCTGGATATTCACAAAAACCTCATCCAATAATATGTTAATTCAATAACAGCATTCGATGCCTAATTCCATTTTTCTTGTAATGTTGCATCAAATTTACAAATACTCTCGCCTTCGGCTCGAGTCTGTAAATCTGAGCACAACGCGGTCACTCATTCTGTATAAAACTACAGTAATTACATATAGCTCAGATGGATAGCCTATTACTTACGCACTCCCTCTACCACAGGTTTATATAAACAAAAGTGAGAAATACTAACAAAACTACCAATTTCTGTCAATAAAGCGAAACATAATAATAATATTTGAAAAGTCAAAGAGTCCTGCAATGTTAGATGTTTTTTTTTTTTTTTATTAATGAAAGAAAACCATTCATGGATCATGACAAAGTAAAAAATAAAGCCTAATCTCCGCTTCCCAGCATCTCTTCCTTCCGGACGAAAGCGCGAAAGAGGTTTGGTAAAAAAAACAAAAAAATCGAGACTATATAAAGCCTACAAAATAAGTACTAAATCGGCGCCATCAAACGAATAATGAATCGCTTGTGTCTTCACATGGAGTGGGAACAGAACATCCAAAAACAAAATCTTGTACCTGAGAATCAAGAAATAAAAAAAGGGGGGAAAAAGTCAAGTAAAACACAAACTAGTTAGAAGTTGATTTTGTGGCAGATCACAAACATACCAACATCACAGCAAACCCAATAATAATGGTTTCAACTTTGTAGAACAGAACTCGACAAATGACAGGAAACCTTTAAGACGCGAGGATGGCTAACGATGGCGAGGATGGAAATGGATCACAACAAGGGCGTAATGGTTTGTTTGTTGCCCCATTTCAGACAATGTGATGTTACTCTAGAGGATAGTTCCTTCTAAATTTAATCATATCATATGTACGTGTATATGGGAGACGCGGTGGCCTAATGGTTAGCGCGATGGACTCCGGATCGAGCGGTCCTGGTTCAAGCATTAGCCTGGGTCATTGTGTTGTGTTCTTGGGCAAGACACTTAACTCCTAGTGCCTCTCTCCACCCAGGGAGTATAAATGGGTACCATCGACAAAATGCTGGGGAGGGGGGGGGGGGGGGGGGGGGGGGGGAGGAGGAGGAGAGCCTGCGATGGACTAGCATCCCATCCAAGGGAAGTAGCAATATTCCTAATCGGCTTCATGCTATGAGTGCACAAGTAGATGGATACATTCAAACAGATATGTCATAGAAATGAATCATCACCGATCACCTCAAGAAAATTCCTTGATGAATACTAAATTCTCCCAAATAGTTATAATAAAATGTACAGAAATTGGAAGGATAATTATTCTAAACTGAAGACAAGTTGTGGCTTGAAATAGAGTTACTTACCCCCAGATAACCCTCTGCTTTTCTGTTTGGGCGTGTAACCAGTGAGGCCAGTGGTACTGCACAAGATCGTACTGAAAACCGTACTCTTTGGCCATGTGAGGTAGGAAGGCCTTGTAAATGAATACAATAACAGATGTTATTGAGAACTCTACGAGAACTCGGAATTATTTTTCCGAGTGGCTTGTGTCACTGACGCGAATAATATATTTCTCATTTTGATTTCTACCAAAAGACTACCATAATTTCTTTACACATATATTTCACATATCGACAAATCTAATCCTAGCAGTATACGGGACGTGTGTCACACTTGAACCTAATGACATGGTCTAGGTAGAGCGTCCGACCGGTGTGCAGAAGGTCATAGGTTCGACTTCTGTTGGGAGAACTCGGAATTCTTTTTCCGAGCAGCTTGTGTCACTGAATGAATGTTTTTCTCATTTTGTTTCTACCAAGTTCAACATTTACCATCATTTATTTCCACATATAACTAATATTGTGAGTTTCTGAGTTATAGCGTTACCTCCAACATAAACTATTAGGAAACACACTGAACCTGGCCGTTGCACATTTCAAAGCGATTAATGTTACTTATTTCGAGAAGAAGTAAGGTGACAACTTTATAGGATTTGTGAAATGTCATGATATTTGGATAGTATCGCGTAGAAACAATGCTTCGAACTTATTGCTCTATGCTCAAATGTATGTTGTCTAGTTATACAGGACGTTGTACAGACGTTGTTCGCACAGGTTTCCTTGATTTCATTGCGTCCATAATAAACAAAAACTGGGAGTTTTATCCATTCTTTTAACATGGTTTTACTGCGCCATTACAGTAAAATAACTAAACCGATAGTTCCGCTTTGTAATGCAGTCAATCATTTTAGCGGGCGTCTCAGAAACAGGAAACTGTGGGGTGTGATGGGTGGATTTCGATCCTTTTTATTTCTCGATCCATTCCTTTTCAGTTTACATACAAAATATCTCAGTTCGTGAAACACACATCAAAGCATTAAGACCGTCTTGGATCCCACGTGCTCTCGTGGAAATCATATTTTATATTACATTAAAAAAAAAAATATGGAGGGACTTCCTTTTAAAATGTGATTACGAAGTCACGGATCTCAACCTGCGTCTAAGCACTTTTTATTTGCAGTTACTTACTTGGTGGGCTGAGTTTCTGACACTAATTATTCCCACTATGTTAATTTGGAATAATAAAAACATAAGAATTGCTAATAAACCTGTTTTCTATTAGTCGTATTTGATTGTGGCATAATTTACTTAAGCGATTTACTTTTTAATCTAGATAATATAAGTTCTTATGAATACTTAAAATCTGTAGGTCTTAACACTAATTTTCTGACATGGTCAGCCTTAAGAGTGTCTATCTCTAAAGACAAGCTATCTTCTTTACCACCAGTCGAATTTGATCCTATAAATTTTAAATATAACGGCACTGACTTCGACTCATATTCAGCAAGGTGTAGGCAGTTCTATTCATTGTTGTTATCCAATAAAAGCTAAATATCCTAACAGCTTCAAAAACTTTGACGGCCGATTTGAATCTTTTAAATTCGCTGCCCGGAAGTATTCTCGATTCCATATACTGTTGCAAGTGAAAACTTATGTCTGGTCTTTTCAATATAGAATACTAAATAAAATTATGTTTACAAATACCAAACTATCTAAAATTGGTTTAATCGAGTCAGAGAAATGTTCTTTTTGTAGGATTCACAGGGAAGATATGTTATTTTGTATCATACTCTTTTATAACTGCTCCTATGCACGGGCTTTTTGGAATAGGTTTAGCACTGGTGGTCTGATCGCCGTGGTGAAAATTGAGTTTATCCTTAAAAGACATTATAATTGATATTCTTCATAAAAAACGACCTTTTAAATTATTTGATCATTCTTGGTAAGCGATGTATATGGGAGTGTAGAAGAAACAAATCCTCTCCAAAATTTAATTTATTTCTACACAAGGTAGAAACTAAACTAAAAACGGAAAATCTTATTGCTGTAAGAAAAAGAAGCTTCAAGCTTTTAGGGAAAAATGGGAACCACTTCTATAATTTTTTTCCCTGTTATTGTTTGGAGGAAAAATGTGGATGGATGGTTAAACTCCTAGTTTCTAGTTTTGTATTTTCGCTTTATTACAAATAACGTTAGTGTATAATGTATCTGCATTGTGTCCGTATAGTGTGATTGTCTTTGTCTTGTGTTGTTGTTGTTGTTACTAAAATAGCCAAAATAGTATCGTGACAACAATTAGTTGGAGTGCTTGTGAATAGATCCTTATATCTGTAATTTTATATAATAGCCTACCTCTGTAATTGAACAATAGCCTGTATTCGCAATGTAGCGGCTCGGTAAAATATCCACCACTATCCACCTCCACTTCGGCGAATAATTGTTTTAGTATATACCAAACCAGTGAAATAGCTAGCTCCAACATTATAGATTTATTTTACCGCGAAAAATCGGAAAAATCCTTTAAAAGTGGAAACCCTACGCGCGAGGCGCGATCGACCAAGGACAGCGCGGGAAAGTCACATGACAACATCAGGCGAATCAACATGTCTCGTATGTTGGACTTTGACGATTTCAAGGGAAAATTAATTTTTTTCCGTTTTTTTTACTGATGGACCAAAAGCGACGAGTTCTATTTTCTCGTATTTTACAAGTTCTGTCAGTTACTATTGCCTGAGAAACTGATGTTGAAAGCTGCAAGTGCCGTTATAAACTGAACAAGATGGTCAAGATGCATGCTGCCTAACCGAAGACGTTTTCGTAATTCCAGTTCACCAATTATTTCTCATACTGATGTGACTGCATCCACCGTCTGATGTTACTGCTTTTAATTTACCGGAGGGGAGAAGCAGTAAAGTTTGGAGAAGCCACAGCATTTGGGCAGTTCTTGATCATGATACGGACAACAGGAATATTTTCTAGCGTAGTGAGACCGAGATTAGTCGATCCGAATACAAAACTAAATCGTTGGCAGGTTTGAAATAATTACAGGGACTTCTTGCTTTTTGAAAGACACTGTATTCAGGATTTCAGGTAGCAATTGCATTTTAAAGTTAGTTGGGCTGGACAGCGTTTGGAACCACTTCAAAAACTTTTAAAACTGTTCGAAATTATTTACAACTGAGCGTTGTCACGTTCGTACTCTAGCTATTTGCTCAATAGTAAACAAAAACATTTTGTACGACATTTTTGGCGATTTTATTTAGTGACACGACTAAACTTGCTACAAATGATCACCTCTAAATATCTTCAGGTATTTTTGATAACACAGTGACGTGTAGCGGCTTCGTTTATAAAAGTAATTTCTGCTTTGATCAAAGAAGCAAAACGCACGGCCATTTTGTTTTGCTCGGAGGTGAATAGCAAAGACTATTCACCTCCGAGCTAGCCAATCAGAACGCGCGAAAAGCACTATTCACTGGTTTGGTATATACTAATTAACTGATGTGATAGTTGATGAGGCCGTAGGCCGAATCAACTATCACATCATAGAAATTGAGAGCGAATAATCTAATTGTTTTAGTGAAAATTATAACAATTGTCTTGTTAACTCTAAATTATCTTCCAAAACTTCGGAGAAACGAGAAGAAACCGCAATTTTGTAGACGACCTCCAGTCACTGCACACTAATGGCTGATAGTGTGCAGTAGCTCAGCCAATCAGATTGTCTCATTTGCATTAGTGTACAGTAGATTTTTACTAATAAGTAATAGCCTATGTTATTTTGTTAATAGTAATAGCCTATGATTGTAACTAAGTAATAGTCATTGTTAATTAAGTTAATTAAGTAATAGTTAATTGTAAATGGTTGTTAATTGTTTAATAAAGCTTTCCAATTGAAAAAAATTGCCACTTAAGAATTAATTAAAATTATATAAATTAATCAATCGACTGAATTAAGTAATTATTATTATTATTATTATCATACCGTTATCGTGGGTGACAGGAAGTTCTTCAGGAACCAAAACTTGACAGGATTTTTGGTATTCTTCATAACAGTTAACATCATGATCCTGAAAGGGGAGATATAAAATAACAAATCAGCAAAGAAGATGATCTAAGGAAGCATTCCCCATACATGGGTTTCTTCCAATGATATCTTTTTGAAATATCTTTTTAATTTGTATAGTCCATAGCTGAGTTAAGGGCACAGAAAAGCATGGGCGGTGAAACGCGCACTGCGCACTGCGCTCTTGTGCGATGTTTGATGCGGAGGGAGACTGGGAGCGCTCGAGGGCAAAACATGTCGGCAAATGAAGTTCAATAGCTGATGCAGAAAAAAGATTGCTACAAGAGAACGTACGAGATTTCCACTTAGTTTTTGTAGAATAAAACATGTCAACATGTATGTAAAGCTGTATGCAATAAAGAACAAGTTCAATATGTAAAATCAACAACGATTTTAGTAACCGGGCGTGGACCTGGGGCCCAGCCCGGTTAGTTTTTCAGCTTCACTTTTTCCCCCTTGTGATTTGCCTGTACCCCCACTCAGCCAAAGCGCTAGGAGGAGAGCTAGGGGAGAGTATAAATATATATCGGCGCCTTGTGAAAGTTGTTCTCGGGGAGGAACGAAGACCGGAGTCGAGAG